ATCCTAGCAACCGGATTCAGCAATACATCTCAAAAATCATCCATCATGACCAAGTAGGCTTCATTCCTGGCATGCAAGTCTGGTTCAATATTCGTAAAACCATAAATGTAATTAAATACATCAACAGATGTCAAAACAAAAACCACATGATCATATCACTAGATGCAGAAAAAGCTTTTGATAAAATCCAGCACCCCTTCTTGATAAAAACCCTTGAACATCTAGGCATACGGGGAACATACCTCAAAATAGTAAAAGCCATCTACGAGAAACCCACAGCCAGCATACTCCTAAATGGACAAAAATTGGAACCAATTCCCCTGAAAACTGGAACTAGACAAGGATGCCCACTCTCTCCCCTCCTGTTCAACATAGTATTGGAAGTCCTGGCTAAAGCAATCAGAGAAGAGGAGGCAATCAGAGGTATTCAAATAGGAAAAGAGGAAGTCAAGTTATCTCTCTATGCAGATGATATGATGGTGTACCTTGAAAACCCAAGAGAATCTGTCAAAGGCCTCCTTACATTGATAAAAGCCTTTGGCAAAGTCTCAGGATACAAAATAAATGTACAAAAGACAATCGCATTTCTCTACACCAATAATAAACAAACAGAAACCCAAATAAAAAACACAGTTCCATTCACAATAGCCACCAAAAAAATGAAATACCTTGGCATCTTCCTAACCAGAGACGTGAAAGACCTTTACAATGAAAATTACAAAACACTGCTCAAAGAAATCAAAGCCGACACGAACAAGTGGAAAAATATCCCATGCTCATGGATCGGAAGAATCAACATTGTGAAGATGTCCATCTTACCTAAGGTAATCTACAAATTCAATGTAATACCCATTAAATTACCAACAACATTCTTCTCAGACCTAGAAAAAACAACACAGGAATTCATATGGAAACACAAACATCCAAGAATAGCCAGAACAATCCTCAGCAAAAAAAACAAAGCAGGTGGTATCACAATACCAGATTTCAAACTTTACTATAAAGCTACAATCATCAAAACAGCTTGGTATTGGTACAGGACAGGCATATAGATCAATGGAACAGAATTGAGATTCCAGAAGCAAACCTCAATTTCCTCAACCAACTCATCTCGACAAGCCCCCACCACCTACCAATGGGGAGAGGAAACCTATTCAGTAAATGGTGCTGGGAAAATTGGCTGACCACATGCAGAAGATTGAAACAGGACCCCTATCTATCCCCATGCACAAAGGTTAACTCCAAATGGATCAGAGACCTAAATGTAAAACCTCAAACCATAAGAACCTTAGAAAAGGAAGGAAATACTCTCATGGAAATCGGAACTGGCATCCAATTCTGTACAAAACCCGAAACCCACAGGACTTAAGAGAGAAGATAGACAAATGGGACCTTATTAAACTGACAAGCTTCTGCAAAGCCAAAGAAACCATCAAGAGAGCAGGGAGACAGCCTACAGACTGGGAAAAAGTTTTGCCAACTCTAGGTCTGACAAAGGCTTAACATCCTGGATCTACAAGGAACTGAGACGTACTGAAAAGAAGAAAACAAACAACCCCATTATAAAATGGGCAAAAGACATGAACAGACACTTCACAAAAGAAGACATTCGAGCAGCCAACAAACACATGAAGAAATGCTCAACCTCACTAATCATCAGGGAGATGCAAATCAAAACCACACTGAGATACCACCTAACTCCAGTCAGAATGGCAATTATCAACAACTCAAAAAATAACAGCTGCTGGAGAGGGTGTGGTGAAAAGGGAACACTTCTACACTGTTGGTGGGAGTGTAAACTAGTGCAACCTCTGTGGAAAGCAGTGTGGCGATTCCTAAAAGCTCTAAAAATTGACCTTCCATATGACCCTGCAATCCCCCTACTGGGAATATACCCTGAAGAACACAAATCACTCTATAAAAAAGATACCTGCACACGTATGTTTATCGCAGCGTTGTTCACAATAGCAAGATCCTGGAAACAACCATGCTGCCCATCAAAAGAGGACTGGATTAAAAAATGTGGTACATATACACGATGGAATACTACGCAGCCATAAAAAAGGACAAAATCATGCATTTCGCATCAACCTGGATGGAACTGAGTCTATAATACTGAGTGACCTCTCACAGAAACAAAGATCCGAGTATCACATGTTCTCACTCATATAATGGACCTTGAACATCCAATGCAATACTATGAGAAAATGACTGATGGTACTGGGAAACTATGGGGGGGAGGGGGATGGGATTAACAGTAGCAAATATCTGTCGGGGGATGGGAAAACACTTCTTATCAACAGGGTGCCTGAATGAAACGTCATTGTACACCTAACCCTTAACTGTACCCCACAAAACCATAATAAAAAATACTGATTAATGGAAAAAAAAAAATCCTTGTCATATGATTTTTATCAGGACAAAATGATAATGAGCACATGAAGAATAACATCTGCCATTCACCATTCATCTGCCTTAATACAAGTGAATGCATTTTTAGGTTAACCCTACATCACTTTCCACAGATGGGAAAACCAGGATCTCATATCATAAACAAGCAAGGCACGCAAATAAATACTAAGAATTTAAATGTTAAGATGTGTCTACTTTTGATCTCGAAAAATCTCAAGTACCATACTTTTGAAAGCTTCCTACAAAACTATCCTAATAAAGTGTATATGTGTGTGTGTACACACACACCTCTAAAAAATTAATATTCAAGTAAAAAAAAAAGTGACTATCCTTTATAGCTATATAAAACCAATATTCAAGTAAAAAGTAAATGTTACCATCTTACGTTATATTGGGTTGTAATGTTTCTTTCAAGCCAGAATGTTTTAAATTTAGCAGCCCAAATGCCTCTAGATTTTATTTAATGCATAGCGTGTCTTTAAAATTTTTTCCAGCTTTATTGAGGCATAAGTGACAAATAAAAATTGTATATATTTAAGGTGTACAAGTAGTGTTTTGTACCTACTCTCACACTCAAATAAGAAAAGACAGTTGGTGGGTCACAATTGGCCTGAGGTTTGTGGTTTGCCAGCTACAGCTTATTTTGAATGACACCCAGAGAAGTTAAAACCTTGCCCAGAATTACACAACCAGTAAAAGTAAAACTGGATTTGAACCTAAACCATTTCCAGAGAGCATACTTACTCGAAACCATAAAACTGTACTGCCATTCACCAAAAAAAAAAAAAAAATAGTGCTCTCATAGTCTTCTGGCTATAAGATCATATTCTTTCAGAATTAAAAGAGGACCCATGGAGATCAACTACTTCCAGTTTTTTCTACATATGATGAAAAGGATAATCCCAATAAAAATAAAAGCGAACATTGTCTTCTAAGTGATGAATCCACACTCATGTTTCACCTTGCTAAGTCCTTACTAGGCCCTGTTTTAGAGAGGAAATTTGAAAAAGGGAAGTCATGGAAAGCTATTGTTTACCACAGTGGCTATAGTTAATAACAATATATTGTATTTTTAAAATTTGGTAAGACAGTAGATTTTTAACTGTCCTCACCACAAAAAATAAGTATGTGATGTAAGTACACTTTAAATATCTTGACTGAACCATTCCAAAATATATCGTTCAAAACAACCTGTTGTACATGAAATATATATACTATTTTTCATTTGTCAACTTAAAAGTTAATTTAAATAAATAAAAGAGAAAGTCATTTCAATAAGGTCATACAGCAAGTAGGATGACGAACAAAGATTCAAGAGCAAATCATTGCAGTAAACACATCATCTATCAAAAATTCAAGCTGCTATATCATCCCAAATCTAGAGTGTAGATTTGTCACTGGGAATACATTTCCCAGAAACCCCTGCAGTATTTGGGACCATGTGATTGAGTTCTAGCCAACAGAATGTGAGGGGAAGTGATAACTTCCTGGTGTGACCCTTATTAACTTCCCCTATGGGACTCTGCCATGTTCTTCCACCCCCCCTCCCCCCCGACCCACCCAGTTGTCTAAAATGGAAAGAACCCCAGGATGACCTTGGAGTCTGTGTATGGAAAATGTCTGAGCCTCCATCAGCCTGAGGTGGAGGAGAGACACTCTGCAAATTTATTTGCTCACCCTCTACTGACCCAAAAGGGAAAATGAACTCCTATTGTGCCAAGTCTCTAACATTTTGGAGTTGATTGTTACAGCAGCTGCTGTTACCCTATCTAATACTATCAGTTTGACTGTCAATCACTCAATGGTCCCTCCAAAAGTTATACAGGAGGAGAGCTGAAAGGGGGACTCTTACTTTTCCCCCGACACCATCGCTGCTGATTAATGCTTCTCTTCCCATCCTGTTGTAGGACAAGATGTCTAGATATGATTGTAATAATGAGGTAATTCTACAATTGCCTACCTTAGGCTCAGTTTTGTTGATGCCCATGAGGAAGAGAAGGTGGGCCAGGAAGAGGCAGAGGGAGAGCTTAGGTGGAGAGAGGTGCTGATGTTCTGGATGGGTCGGCACAGGAGGAAGGTGAGAATTGCCAGGAACAGGCACAGCAGAGAGATGACCAGCCTCACACAGGTGATGACGGTCAGCACAGGGTCCTCCTGCAAGTTACCAAAGAAGGACTCATTATAACTTCCAACTGTGCTGTTATTTTCCATCAGATGGGCACCCTAGCTCAGTCCCTGAAGCAAGTGACTTCACTTATCTGAGACTTGGTGTTTCCATCTTCTGAACAGGGGCAGTAATGGCATTCATCATGCAGGAATCTTGAAAAATTAAAACAACTAGTCTAGTGCTGTCCAGTAGAAATAGGACTTGGGAGTCTTGGGTGTAATTTAAATTTTCCAGTAGCCACATTAACAAATGTGAAGAGAAACAGGCGAACTTAGTTAATAGTATATTTTATTGGACTGAGTATGTTCAAAATAGTGTCAGTAATCAATGGAAATGGAGATTATTATTAGCGAGCTATACTACATTCTTTTTTACCATATTAAGGCTTTGAAATTTAGTAAATATTTTATACGTAAAGCACATCTCATTTCAGACACTGTCATTTCAGTGGGGGAAAGTGAAATGAAGTTTAACCAAACAATAGGGTATATTTAAGAGAAATATATTTTACACTGCTTTAGTTTTAAAATTCAAATCAATTAAAATAAAATAAAATTAAGAATTTAGTTCCTTGGCTGTGCAGCAGTCCACACATGCAATAGTCACATGTGGTTAGTGATTCTTTTAGACAGCACGACACCTCAAAAGTAATCTCTGTGATGGCTGGAATATTTTTTATAATTGTGTTGCTCTGTGTTGTATTCTGAAGTTCTAGAACAGCACATGGCATACAATGGGCACTCAATAAATGTATGGCAGAGGAATAAAACGAGGCCATGCATATAATACATGCAGCACAGTGGTTGTTACATAGGAAATGATTCATAAATGGGACCAAGACCAGGTGCAGTGGCTCACACCTATAATCGTAATACATTGGGAGGCTGAGATGAGAGGATTGCCTGGGTCCACAGGTTCGAGACCAGCCTGGGCAGCTTGGTGAGACCTCATCTCTACAATAAATCAAAAAAAGTAGCCAGGCATCATGGCTCACGCCTGCAGTCCCAGCTACTTGGAAGGCTTAGGTGGAAGGATCACCCAAGTCCAGCAAGTCAAGGTTGTGGTGGCCATGAGCATGCCACTGCACTCCAGCCTGGGTGACAGAGTGAGACTCTAAATAAACAAATAAATAAATAAAATCTAAAAGTAAACTGGGGGGGGGAGGTCAGTAAATTTCTTTACACCTGAGCAATCCTAGACTTAGCTGGGACATGGAAAGTGGAGAGGGCTATGCTATGTCATTGGTGACAACTAGTGACTTTCCTTCTAGTCTGACCACAGAGGTTTACTGATACTCTTTCTTTTGCAGAGTAACACATTGCTTTCAATTCCAGATCCCCATGAAACTCACCACTGTAGAGGCTACCAAGCAAACATCCCAATGTCTGAGGGCTTTCCTTGGTAGCTTGAGCTCACTCTGCCCATCCCATGGAAGTGTCAGATAATAAACACTCCTGGGTACAGCTCTCAGCAAATGACTAAAGGGAGTCAGTGTATAAATACCCCAGCCTCCTCCTCACACATTTAGAACGACTCTAAAGTATGAGTTCTACTGACTCCCAGAGTCTCAAAGAGAGAATAAGGTCAGATTGCCCACAGTGGTAACTGGCTGGATAATACTCCTGTTTCTTGTTTTATCTTCATTTCATTGCCCCAGTCCTGGAATTCCCTCTCAAGGATGCTACCACCACATGGCTCCTTATCCTAGAATCTTTTTCTAAGAAATGCAGAGGATGATCTTACAACTTCTTGGAACACAGACAGGTAACAAGGAAGGGACCATGAATCTTGGTACCTTGGGGGAAAGAGCCATAAGAACGGCAAGCTGGACAGGTGGAAGCACTTGCATTTGGTATGAAAATAGTTACGGTACATGTGAGAACAGTTCTCTGTGGACCAGCCACCCCGTATTCTGATTCTTCCCAGGAAACACAGATAGGTTGTGTTCCTTCTCCAGGCTGGAAAGAGAATAGTGTGAAAGTGAGTCCCTTCTTGTTTTTTGTTCGTTTTATTTTTATTTTTTAACTATGTGGAATTATCACGAGGCACTGAGTTAGAAACTGGATTTGGAAAACACTTGTGGGGAAGAGCCTCCCAACACTTGTGGGGATGAGCCTCCCATCAAATAAACCTGTTGTGGGGTTTATTTCTTCATTTATTCTGCCCTTCTCTGGCCATCACTATGCCCAGGGATTGAATTTATGAACTACCTCACCAGGGTCGTAACCATTGACAACAAGAGGTGCTAGTGAGTGATAACTGAACAAGAGAAGAGAGAGAAGTCAGGCCTTTCTTCCAGATGTCCAGACTGTCTCCTCCTCCTGCAGGGCGATCCCACCTCCCTGCCTCCAGCTCTCACTAAGCTCAGCAATGTCATCTTGCATTGACTTTTGGGCTTCAGCTTGAGAATAGCTTCCACAGTCTCTGAGTGTCTGGACATTTCTTCCCTGACTCCCAAGCTTTATCGAAGTGTGATTGACAAATAAGTAATTATGTATCTTTAAGTTAGATGATATATTGTTTTGATGGCTGTCTACATTATAAAATGGTTAGCATAATTAAACTAACACATCCATCACCTCACATGGTCACCGTTTGTTCATTTTGTGGTGAAGACACGTACAATCTACTCTTTTTAGCACATCTCAAGTATTCAATACATGATTAATATTATTATTAGCCAAAGTCACCATACTGTACATTAGGTTTCAAGTACTTATTCCTCAGATAATTTACAGTTTGTATATTTTGCCAATATCTCTCGCATTTCCTTCACGTCCCAGTCACTGGCAACCACCATTCTCCTCTCTTTTGCTATGAGTTCAACTTTTCTTTTAGAGTCTAGATATAAGTAAAATCATGCAGTGTTTCTTTTGTGCATGTCTATGGGGGGCCAGCCCCCCAAAAGAGATTTAGAGGGTCCCTGGAAGGTGGCAGCGTCGGCGAATATTCTGGAGAAATAAGGAGAAAGAAAGAGACTGGACTCTGTCTAGTGCAGAAGCCGATTCTGTAGTAGGGATAGATATTGAAAGAAAGATGGAGGGATAGATATAAAGAGAAAGAAAGAAAGTGGACAACTGTTCAGTGAAATGAGCAGAAGCCGTTTATTGGGAACAAACATGAGTCTTTTATCCCAAATTTTCACAGTTAAATCACAGGATTTTCACGTGAGCACAAAACCAGGTAGGTGAGGGGCGTCCCCCACCTACCAGGCGTTTCCTTAGGAATGAGGAAGGACAATCCCAATCAAATCACAAGAGTTTTACGTGAACACAAAGCCAGGTGGGTGGAGGGCGTCCTCACCCACCAGGCGTTTTCCTTAGCATGAGAAAGTACAATCTTAATCAAATCACAAGAGTTTTACAGGAACACAAAGCCAGGTGGGTGGAGGGCGTCCTCACCCACCAGGCGGTTTCCCCAAGCATGAGAAAGGATAATCCCAAAGTTATCTCGCTGTTCCTCATGCTTGGTTTATATTCTTCAAAAGCAATATAACTGACTGAAATCCTAATATCTTTCTTATCTGTGCTAATTTTACCTGTACTATAAACAACTCTTAATTATGGCTTAAACTAGTTCCTAAAGAATGTGGCCCAGCCCAAAGTTTGTGCTGGGCCATTTCTGGTATACCATCTAACGCTGGAAACAGCCCTCTAAATGTATATACTAATTTTACAAATATATTTTAAAATCTTATAAAGAAGCTTGTATTATGTATAAGGCTCCCAAATGTGATCTGAGTTTGAACTGTGTTAAGTTTAAAGCCGAAACCAGTTTGTGAGAAACAGGAATATTGGATCCCTAGAGTCAGCCATGCCTGTCATATTCTCATAACTTCATGCTTAGATCATCAAAATCCCTGCCAGTGGGTAATGCTAAACAACAAAGAAAGGAGGAGTGAGTGGGCCTTCAGTTACTGAACCAGCCTGGTGGTCTCAAGGTCCGCAGCCCGCCTGGATCCCTAACGCTCAGGCAGGCCTCCACGGCCGGCTCCCAACACATGTCTTTTGTATTTCACTTAGCAAAATAGTCCCCCAGCTTCATCTATGTTGCAGCAAGTGGTAGAAATATTTTTTTCCTTTTTAAGGCTGAATGATACTTCATTAAATATATATTTTATATATTCTAGAAAGGCTATACATAATATAGCATTTTCTTTGCCCATTCATCTGTTGAAAGATGCTTAGGTCATTTCCATATCTTGGTTTTTGTGTATAATGCAGCAATGAAAATGCAGGTTCAGTGATCTCTTCAATATCCTGATTTCAGTTCCTTTGAATAAATACCCAGAACTGGGACTGCTGAATTATAGGATGTTCTATTTTAATTTTGGGGAACCTCCATGTTGTTTTTCATAATGGATATACCTGTTTATATTTCCATCAGCATTTCCCCACATTTTCATCAATACTTATCTTTTGACTTTTTGGTGACAGCTGTTCTAGCCACTGAAGATGCCTCAACATTTATTGTCAGTTCTCTTACCTCTGAATGATCAGACTTAGATTCAGCCCCTACAGGGAAGTTGATAAAACACCCTCACCCTTTAGGGCATGGCAGAGAGGACCAGCCCTGGGTTTTGCTCACCTGAGTATGTTGAAAAGTCAGAACCACAGGTTCAGACAGAGAAACTTTTTCCATTAAACCGATGGTGCCACTCAGGACACAAGAGTTCACTGTGAGATCCTGCATCCCTCTACTCTTATTGAAAAAAGATCCATTCAGAAAATCCCCAAGAGATCCATAAATGATAAAAGAAACTGCTTCATATCTGAGAAAATGGAAGAGGAATAATGTAAAGGGGTGCTCATAGGTTGGGGGACAGTGCACTAGTGTCTCCTGTGAGGGTCATTAGGCAAAAAATGGAAGATTTCAACTACCCTAGGAAAGACCTCAGATTGGCATTTAACATTCCTCATGTGGTTTGAGGTGCAAAATTCTGTATATATAATACATATTATAATGCTCATATATTATAATAGGCATATGTGTAATATACGAGGGGGACCCCAAAAACCCAGAATTTAAATTTCTAAATAATTGTGTACTCATTCTTACATGTTTAAACTTCAGTTACTTTCAATGTACTCTCCATTTGATGCAATACTCCTTTCTAGATGCTTTTTCCACTACTCAAAACAGTTTTTGAACTCGTCCATTTTGATGCCTTTTAGTGTTTCCGCCATTTTTTGTTTCCCTGGCTTGGGCACTCTGGCCCTCAGAGTGAACTAGACATTGTCCATCAGCATCTTTTGCAATCCACTGGCATCCACCAGCACCTGTTCCCAGCCCATATTCTACTGGGGCTGGATGTCTACAAATTACATTTCCCAGAATCCTTCAGGATGGGGGTCTTAGATGTGATGTAAGGTCCTCCTGTGAGATGCATCTGTGAAAGTCTTACAAGCCAGAAGGGAGGCAAATATCAACTTTCTGCAGGCTGTGGAGAGAGCCGTGGCTGAATTCTACATTTCAACTGTCCAACTGCCATTTTGTGGGGACCGTGGGGGTGGGAGGCAGAGATTTTTAACCTCTGGATGACAGCTGCAGGGGATGACCTTGAAGCCAAAATCCAAGTGGCAGCCCTGTGACTTCAACTCCTCCACCCACTTCCAGCAATTTTGTGAGCACTCAATGGCCTACATTAAATACCTTTCGGCTCAAAACACCTGGAGTGGTTGCTGCTTCCTGCACTGAATCATGACTGATACACAGACATGCAGGAGTGCTCCAACCTCTGGGAGTGGAACATCACAAGCTAAGTCCTTCCCCCGTGCCATTTATTCATAGTTTATTTATTTAGAGTCTCATTCTGTTGCCCAGGCCGGATGGCATGTTCCTGGTCACCCCAGCATCGACCCACTGGGCTCCGGTGATCCTTCTGCCTCAGCCTTCCAAGTAGCTGTAACTACTTGCTATCACACCTGGCTAATTTTTTGATTTATTGTAGAGATGAGGTCTTGCCAAGTTGCCCTGGCTGTTCTCAAACCTGTGGGCTCAAGCAATCCCCTCATCTCAGTCTCCTAAAGTGCTGGTATTATGGGCTTGAGCCACCACCATAGTTCATTTTTAAACTAATTTTAATTTATTTAAATGCTTTCTGTGTGTTAAAGATATGCTAGGCACTATCTCATGAGCTCTTCTCTATGACAGTGCCACAAAATGGTTAAGAAAACAGACTGAAGTTCTGCTGTTTTCTAGCTGGATGAGTTAGGACAAGACACTTAACTTCTCTGTGCCTCAGTTTCACCATCTGTTAAAAAGAGAATATTAATAATAACTGCCTTATAAGGTTGTTTTGGGAGGATTAAATGAAAATACTTAATACTGTGCCCTATAGAAGTGTTTGTTGTTGCTTTTTTTTCTCATTCTCATTTTTGAGACAAGAGGGCTGGACTCAGCTCAGAGAGGTTGAGGGACTTGTCCAAGAAAACACAGCTGGGAAGTGATAGAGATGGGCCTTGAGACTAGACCAGTCTTTCTCTGAACCCAATTCTCTTAAATCCTAAGCCACTGGTCTTCAGAACAGCATTTAGGGCCTTTCTGGCAAGGAATTAAGCCTGGTCAACATAGCAAGACCTCATCTCCACCAAAAAAATACCCAAAAAATTACCTGGACTAACTCTTTTCTCCTTCTACGTCCTTGGCCATGTGGTATAACAGAATCTAGACAAGAATATGCTTCACATCACTGATAAGGAGGTCTTTCTGCTCTGCCTGATCTGCCCATTCACCAAGGCTCATTCACACACTATTTCCTCCCTAATCCATCACCAGCTCTCATCAGAACAGCTCTGAATTCCTACAGCATGACCTCTTCCTCCACTTGTGTGGTTTAATGGAAAGAGGCCTTTGGAGTCAGACTTCCTTGAGTTTGAATCCCACCTCCAGAAATTACTGGCTTCATGACGAGGCCAGGCTACCAAGCCTTTGTCCCCCTTCCTATGAAATGGGTCTAACACCACTTCACTTAAAATAAAGAGTTCAGCACACCCCAGGTGCTCTTTACATAAGATCTCTGATGCCTTCATCCATTTAGGAGCATTTTTTCGTCATTTATTATAGAGTTTTGTGGCTTCCCAATCAGTTTGTGAATTCTGCAGGGGCTTTATTTATTTTTTTGAGTTGGAGTCTCACTCTGCCACCCAGGCTGGAGTGCAGTCACCCCATCTGTCTCCATAACTCCTTTCCACAATGCCCAGCACCCTGGTGGACATATAACAGATGTTTAGTCAATATTGTCCCAGTGGGATGGGTGCAGTGGCTCACACCTGTGATCCTGGCATTTTGGGAGGCTGAGGCAGGAGGATTGCTTGAGGCCAGGAGTTTGACACCAGCCTGAGCAACATAGCGAGACCCTATCTCTACCAAAAATGACTGGAGTCTCATCCTGTCACCCAGGCTGGCGTGTAATGGCAAGTTCACAGCTCACTGCAGCCTCGACCTCCTTGACTCAGGTGATCCTTCTGCCTCAGCTTCCCAAGTAGCTGAAATTACATGTGCCACTGCAACCAGCTAAATTTTTTAATTTTTCATTTTTTGTAGAGACAAGGTCTCACTATGTTACCCAGTCTGGTCTCTAACTCCTGGCCTCAAGAAATCTTCCTGGCTTGACCTCCCAAAGTGCTGGGATTACAGGTATGAACCACTGCACCTGGCCTCATCTCTACAAAAAAAATTATAAAATTAGAAAAAAAAAAAAAGTCACATGCCTGTAATTCCGGCTACTCGGAAGGCTGAGGCGGAAGGATCACCGGAGCCCAGCAGGCCAAGGCTGCGGTGGCCAGGAGCAGCCACTGCACTCCAGTCTGGGCAACAGAGTGAGACTCCAACTCAAAAAAAAAAGGGTAGCCAGATGTGGTGGCACATCTGCATCCCAGCTACTCAGGAGGCTGAGATGGGAGGATCGTTTGAGCCCAGGAGGTAGAGGCTGCAGTGAGCTATGATGGCACCACTGCACTCCCGCCTGGGTGACAGAGATCCTGTCTCAATAAAAAAAAAAACATCCCATTGGATTTGGGGCCAGATCCTCAGGGAACCCAAGAAGGTCACCAGCACTGACTGTGAGCTCCCCAGAAGCCATGATGATGGCCATGTTTGCCATACGATTGCAGCTGCAGATGGTTCGAGGCTTGGAGGCTTCCAGGATCTCACAGCCAGAGGATGTCCATCTCCCACCATCCTCACCTGTGCTCCAGGAAACGCAGATGGGCCTCTCAGACTTCTGCTTTGGCCGAAAAACAAAAGCCCTGGACACATGAGAACCCCCTCAAATGGATGCAATGTGACCATCTCAAGGGTCATTGCAGGCAAAGACAGGTTATGTTCTGTAGGGGATGAAAAAATGCTGATATTTCAATATGCAGGCATGGAAGGAAATGTTTTAGATGTCAGACATGTTTCTACACTGGACTTGAACATAGTTAGTGTAGATAAACTACCTGTGGGCCGGGCATGTGACTCATGCCAGTAATCCCAGCACTTTGGGAGGCTGAGGGGGGAGGACCGCCCGAGATCAGGAGGTCAAGACCATCCTGGACAATGTAGCAAAACCTCATCTCAGCCGGGCTTGGTGGCTCAGCCTATAATCCTGCACCTTTGGGAGGCTGAGGTGAGTGGATTGCCTGAGACCGCGGGCTCGAGACACCGCACCCGGCCCTGATTCAACTTTTATGTAACAAAGTTAGGAGGTGTTTTTCTTTTGCCATGGCCTACTAGGTTGATTGGCGAGACCTCATTTCTACAGTAAATCAAAAAATTAGCCGGGTGTGGTACCACACGCCAGTAGTTTCAGCTACTTGGAAGGCTGAGGCGGAAGGATCGCCGGAGCCCAGCAGGTCGAGGCTGCGGTGGCCGGGAGCGGCCACTGTACTCCAGTCTGGGCGACAGAGTGAGACTCCAACTCAAAAAAAACAAAAAACAAAAACAAAAAACCTCATCTCTACAAAAACAAAAAATTCCCATGAATCCATGAATGCTCCTAAATTAATATTACTTAATCTAAACTAAATATCTTACCAGTTGCTGAATGAAAGACCGCCATGTAGAAACAGTATAACTGCATAAGACTAAGCTAGTTCAATTTTTTTTAAAAGAGTGTTGCTTAAAAGACCTTTTTAAAGGTCTTGTTCTGTTGCCCAGGCTGGAGTGCAGTGGTGCGATCATAGCTCACTGCAGCCTCCAACTTCTGGGGTCCTAAGTAGTTGGGACTACAGGCACACGCCTTAACCATGCCTGGCTAATTTTTTTATTTTTTGTAGATACAAGGGCTCACTATGTTGTCCAGGCTGGCCTTGAACTCCTTGCCTCAAGTGATCTTCCTGCCTTGACCTCCCAAAGTGCTGGGATTGCAGGAGTGAGCCACCGCACCCAGCCCTGATTCAACTTTTATGTAACAAAGTTAGGAGGTGTTTTTCTTTTGCCATGGCCTACTAGGTTGAAGGTCAGGTAACCTGAGCATGTCCAGATGAAACATGCATGCAGCCACAAGCAGAACCTACTAGAGCTTTAACGGAGGAATGGGGACCGAATAAGAAGTGGACATAGCCTGGCAGGATCCAGGACGCCATCAGCTTGACCCCTGGCATCACTGCTTGATCAGACCTAGTCAAATCATACCCCCTGGCACCCCAACCCCTGCTCAGGGAGACAGATTTGAGCCAGAGTGCTGTCTCCTTGCACAGCAGTCTGAGTCTTGAAATAAATGTTTCTCTACAAACACACACACACAGATGTTTTGGTGTTTAGCTTTCGGTTGCACGTGGGAAAATTGAACATAGTTTGGTTTGGTAACAATGGAAGAGCTCATTCCTCTAAAGGGGGTGTCTGGGAATTGGCTTGAGTTGCTAAACATAGCAGGACCTTGCTCTCTTGACAATGACTTCCAGTAAAAAATGAGAGGGCTGGGCATGGTGGTTCATACTTGTAATCCCAACAATTTGGGAGGCCGAGGAGGGAGGATTGCTTGAGCCAGGAGTTCTAAGGCCAGCCTGGGCAACATAGCGAGTCCTTGGCTCTACAAAAATAAAAGTCAAAAATATAGCTGAATGTGGTGGTGTGCACCCGTAGTCCCAGCTATTGAGAAGGCTGAGGTAGGAGGATCACCTGAGCCCAGGAGTTCATGGCTGCAGTGAGCTGTGACTGTGTCACTGAACTCCAGCCTGGGTGACAGAGTGAGACTCCAACACACACACACAAATAGAGGGCCACAGAGAGACAAGGAGATCTCTTCACAAACCTGGGTGTTCTCTAGAGTGTAGATGACTGGATCTGAGAACCCATCTTTCTTCTCCTCAGTCATGATGCCCCCAACAACGTGGGAATTTATCTTCAACTTCCTCTCAGAGTTGGCCCAGGGGGCCTGTGGGTCTTGAAAGAAGCATTCTTCTAAAACAGACTCCATGTCCACAAAGGAGACAAAAACTACTCCGGTGGTCCCTGTGGGTTTCCCCAAGTGAAAAAAGCAAAAGAGAAATGTTTGCTCGATAGTGATTATAGATGATACAGCACACACATACACACACACCAAGCACATACTTTAATATCTCACACACCTCACCAGGATCCCCTGAGGATTGAAATACCAGTGGCCTTCCAGATCACTGCCCCTTACCAGAATATTATAAAAATTCTGAGGTGCTATTACCTGGAGAAATCTTAGCTGCATTTAAGAATAATTTTGGGCCAGGCATGGTGGCTCATGCCTATAATACCAGCTACTCAGGAGGCTGAGGCAGGAGGATCGCTTGAGTCTAGGAGTTCACGACCAGGCTGGGCAACACAGTGAGACCTTGTCCCTACAGAAAATCAAAAAAGTAGCTGAGCATGGTGGCACGTGCCTGTAATCCCAGCTACTTGGGAGGCTGAGGTGGGAGGACCATCTAAGCCCAGGAGATGGAGGCTGCAGTGAGCTGTGGTTGTGCCACTGCACTCCAGCCTGGGCCAGAATGAGACCCCGAATCCAAAGGAGAATTTTGGATTTGTGTTCTTAAGGGACAGTACAACTCAGTGGTGGGAAATAGTTCTCCACCCACACATATGGTGATTCTTTTCAGTTTCTTTGGTGGGCTCTCTCCTTTAAATGTTGATGGTCTCCAGAGATGTGTCCCAGGCCTGCTTCCAGGCCCAACCAGCAGACGCTATCCCTCAGGCTTCATCTACCACCTTCAAGCTGATGGAGAGACCTCTTGGATGTCACCACAGACACCGTAAACCAAGCGCTCCCTCTCCCATCGTCTTCTGTCTGCATTCCCTGCTCTCTTTTCTTCTTTTTTTTTTTTCTCCTTTTGAAACAGGGTCTCAATCAGTTGCCCAGGCTTGGAGTGCAGTGGCACAATCCCAGCTCTTTGCAGCCTCAACTTCCTGGACTCAAGCGATCCTCCCACCTCAGCCTCCCGAGTAGCTGGGACTACAGGTGCACATCGTCACTACCAGCTAATTTTGTATTTTTATGTGTGTGTGGAGCTGAGGTCTCTCTATGTCGCCCAGGCTGGTATCGAATTCCTGGACCCAAGCAACCCTCGTGTCTTGGCCTCCTAAAGTGCTGGGTCCACAGGCCTGTGCCACTGTGCCCGGCCTGTATCTCATACTTTCTATCAACGATGTCACCTAACTGGTAACTGGAGAGTCATCTTTGATTTCTTCTCTACCCAAAACCGAAATCTTTTGTCTTCATGTCTCCTCTCCACTTATCCCTTCAGGGGCCTTAAACCAAGCATAACATCACCACACTGTCCTTGGTCACTGGCTTCCTCACAAATGTCCTCGCCTGACCCAGCCTCACCCCTTCAGTGAATTGCTTATATTGCAGCCAAAGGGTTTCTTTCTCAAAAAGCTTCTGCCTGGAGGTCATGGTCAGATCATCTTCCTGCTGTATACAAAACCCTCCAAGGCTTTATGTGCCTTGCAAAGTCCACAGGAGACAGGAGACAGTCCGCACATAACAGACATCCACAATTCTTTTTTCCCACTCTGGCCTCCATGGTGCTCCAACCTTATTCCCCTTTTAGTGCCATGAACACGCCAAACTTCTTCTCTCAATTCAGAGCCATGGCATGGACTGCCACACCCTCTCCTGCTTTCTCTGCTTATTCCTCAGGGCTTAGCTTGACTATCTCATCCACACTGCACCTTGTGTTTTAACACTGAAGTATCAATCACAATGTTCAGCATATACCTAGACCAGGGAGGGGGCAGCAAACCATGGTTTTCAGACCAATCTGATGGTCACCTCTTCTTTGTCAATAAAGTTTTATTGTAACACCCCCAGACCCATTCATATGCATATTGTCTATTTTTTATAATAGCTAATATTTTTTATTATTGTTTAAATATCTGTGGTATCCATGGTGATCATTCCTCCTTCATTTATGGTCTTAATTTTTTTTTTGGTCAGGTTTTCACTCTGTTGCCCAGGCTTGAGTGCCATGGCACAATCACAACTCACTGCAGCCTTGGTCTCCTGGGTTCAGGTGATCCTCCTGCCTTAGCATCCAGAGTAGCTGGGACTACAGGTGCATGTCACCACATCTGGCTACTTTTTAAATTTTTTTTGGTAGAGACAAGGTCTCACTATGTTGCCCAGGCTGGTCTTGAACTCTGAGTTCAAGCAATCTTCCCATGTTGGCCTCCTGAAGTGTTGGGATGACAGGAATGAGCCATGGTGCCCAGCTCCTGTTGTCTACTAATGCTTTTGCACTTTAATGATAGAGTTGGTCATTGTGACAGAGACTGTATTGATCCCAACACCTGAAGTATTTACCAACTGACCCCACTGCAGAAAAAGTTTGCCAGCCCCTAGTGCAGATAAGCACTGTCCTGTAGAAATACAGTGCGTGACATATGTAATTTTGATTTTTTATTATCTGAGTCGGAGTCTCACTCCATCACCTAAGCTGGAGTGCAATGGCATGGTCATGGCCACCCCAGCATCAACCTGCTGGGCTCCGGTGATCCTTCTGCCTCAGCCTTCCAAGGAGCCAGAACTATGCTACCACGCCCAGCTAGTTTTTTTAATTTATTGTAGAGACGAGGTCTCGCCAAGTTGCCCAGGCTGGTCTTGAACCTCTGGGCTCAGGCAATCCTCTTGCCTCAACCTCCCAAAGTACTGGGATTACAGGCTTGAGCCACCGTGCCCAGCCTGTAATTTTGAATTTTAACAAGTAACAAATGACTCTCTAGGCTTCAGGTCAGGTGACATTATTGATTCAAAGTAGGGAGCACAGATAAAATTAATTTTAATAATATAAGTAAAACATGATCATTTCAACATGTAAATTTGATGTTTTAAATATTAAAAATATATGTCAAGTAGGTATCCTTTTTAAAGTATTTTTTAATATAAAAAAATGACTAGTGAGATATTTGACACCCTTCTTTCTTTGTATCAAGTCTTTGAAATATGATATGTGTTTTACATTTACAGCACACCCATCTCAACTCATCTTAGTCACATTTCTTTTTTTTTAATTTTAGAGTCATAGGGTACATGTGAGGATTTGCTACATAGTCAATCACATTTCAAGTGCTCAAGAACCAAATGCGACCAGTGGCTACACTATAGGACAATGGAGGTCTCAAGCCTCCAGGTCAGGGCCATCTCTGCTTTGGTTGTCATTGTTTCCCAATACCCTGGCGCTGGCCCAGGCACCTAGGACATAATCGGTCCTGGTGATTGGTTACACCATAATCTGGATTCTTGGGGGTGGATCCATACCTGTAGATTCAGATTCCCTAATTGTTGGGAGCCAGCCACGGAGGCCCACTGAGCGTTAGGGATCAGGGAGGGCCGTGGACCCCGAGACCGCTAGGATGTGTTCGGGAGCTGTTGACTCCATTTTCCTCCTCCTTTTACCATGCAGCACAAGTAACCTAAAGGAACTCTGCTGATCTAAGCTGAAGGCTCTGTGACTGTGACAGGCATGGCTCACTCTAGAAACCCATTGTTCCTGTTTCCCATAGACTGCGGTTTTGGCTTAGATATTAGATATAATTCAAACTCAGGTCACATTTTGGAGCCTTTTACACAATACAAGCCTCTTTATAAGATTTTAAAGCATATTTGCAGAATTAGTATATACTTATGGAGAGCTGTTTTCAGCTTTTCAATGGTATAGATGATTATTAAGAGTTAACAGAAATGGCCCAGCACAAAGCTTGGGCTGGGCCACATTCCTGAGGGCCCAGTGCATACTTTGGACTGGGCTGCATTCTTTTAGGCTGGCTTTAGCTACAGTTAGTGTAGGGTTTTTTTTCTATTTATTATAGAAATTGAATTTATTTTATTCATAAAAAGTATTGTAGAATAGGTTATGTTAACGTCAGGGAATCATGTTAGTTCAAGCATGACCAATCATGATATTTTGAGGTTTAATAAGAATACAGTTAACTTTAGAAATTTCATTGTCTCCATTTTCTATGATTGTGGTTTTGGCCTTAGTACATTTACAGTTTATATTTGGGTTTTATTTTTAGAAGCTTTGCTGCTGATGATCAGCTTTATATATTAGGATTAGGAATTAGAAACTTTCATAGAAATTAGGATAGATATATAGGACTTTAGAATAGCCATTTTGTTAAGAGATTGTAGTCTATTGTTCCAAAAAGTGGCCCACTGTGAACCTTGGACTGGGCCACATCCTATAGAGCCCAGCATGATCTTTGGCCTGGGCCACATTCTTTAGGAATTGGTTTAAGCTATATTTAAGAGCTTCTGTAGCATTGTGTAAGTAGTATTGGCATAGAATAGAAAGGTAATAAAGTTTAAGTTAGTCTTCATGGGTATTGAGTGAGCTTTAGAAGTTATTGATTATCAGAGCATCATTAGGCTAGTAGGGATTGTTGCACTGCTTTTGAAGAGCATTAACTAACAAAGGGAACAATAAGACAATCTTGGGGTTTGTCCTTCCTCATACCTGAGAAAACATCTGGTGGGTGGGGGATGCCCCTCCTGTACCTGGCTTCATGTTCACATGAAAGACTTGTGAAACTGTCTGTCTAAAATTTGGGGATAAATACCTGCTGTAACTTTCAATAAGCAGCTTCTGCTCATTTCACTGAACAGTTGTCCACTTTCTTTCTTTCTCTTTCTTCCTCTTTATATCTATCCTTCCATCTTTCTTTCTTTTAATATCTGTCCCTACAGATTTGCCGACGCCACCACATCATCCAAGGGACTCCCCAAAACTTGCAGGGGCTGGGCCCCCGCATCTAATGGTAGCACAGTTGATCTTCATCTCATTCCCCTTGGCTCTCAAGTTGAAGGTCACATTCTCTTTGATGCATTCTTCCTTGATCACCTTGCTCTTGATATCTCAAAAGAGAAAAGGGAAGTTTGCATAAGGTCACCCAGAAAGTAGCTCCTGGATTTGGTTTCTGTCCAAGAAGTGCACTCATCTGCAGCAAAGGGAAGAACAGTCAGGTCAGTTCATCATGGGGAAAGTCTTGAGGCCCTTGATGAATGACAGAGGGATGATCATACCAGATAAGGAACCCAGTACTACCCCACTAGCTCTCTGTGAAAATAAAATAGACAATGAAACCAAAAGCATTATCTTTTTTTAAAAAAAATAAGTCTGATAAGGCTGGGCGTGGTGGCTCACGTCTGTAATCCCAACACTTTGGGAAGCCGAAGTGAGAGGATTGCCTGAACTTGGGCCTTCAAGACCAGCCTGGGCAACTTAGCAAGATCTTGTCTCTAAAAAGTTTTAAACTGTTCAAGGTTCCTCATTGTTCTTGAGGGGGAAAAAGACTCTGGATTGGGTGTGGTGGCTCATGCCTGCAATCTCAGTGCTTTGGAAGCTTGAGGCAGAAGGATCGCTTGAGGCCAGGAGTTTGAGACCAGCAAGAAAGACCCCATCTCTACAAAAAGTAAAGGAAAAAGTTAGCCAGTCATGGTGGCACACACCTGTAGTCCCAGCTACTCAGGAGGCTGAGGGAGGAGGATCACTTGAGTTCAGGAGTTTGACATTCCAGTGAACTATGATTTTATCACTGCACTCCAGCCTGCATGACAGAAAGAAGCCCTGTCTCTTAAAAAAAAATGAGATGCAGTGGCTCAGCTTGTAATCCCAGCACTTTGGGAGGCTGAGGTGAGAGGACTGCCTGAGCCCATGGGTCCGAGACCAGCCTGGGCATGGTGGCGTGCATCTGTAGTTCCAGCTACTTGGAAGGCTGAGGTGAAAGGATCCCCTAAGCCCAGCAGGTCAAGGCTGTGGTGGCTGTGAGCATGCCACTGCACTCTAGTCTGGGCAACAAGAGTGAGATTCCAACTCAAAAAAAAAAAAAAAAAAAACTCCAAAATTCTTCATTAAGCACACAGGGTCCTGCAGAACCTAACTCCTGCCCTCTTCTCCAGATACATCTAATGTCACTTCCCCTTATCCTCAATTGCATGAGCCTCAGGACCTTTGCACCTACTACTGCCTGTGATCTCCACTCTTCTTCCAGAAAATTCCTACTCCTCTTTCAAGTTTCCAATTAAATATCATTTTCTTGGATCATATTTAATATCCCATTTGCCACTCGAAGGCTCAGTATGACTTCTCAGTTGTTGCACCCACTATCTTTATCGTTAAATATTTTTGTGTGTGCTCCCTTGATCCTTTCCTAGACTATAAACTACGTGAGGACAGATGTCACACTCTTCATATCCAGGATGGAATGCTCAGCACTTAGTGCAGGGACCTGTTTAATTAATCAATTAATAGGTGCTCCAAAAGTCATTTTTTGAATGAGCAAATTAGCAAATGAGTAAATGAATGACTAAAAATAGAAAGAATGATCTGACTGAGATGAAAGTAAGAGAAAAGTCCAGGGGTGGCTAGATAAGAGGTTCACAACCAAAGCAAGACACAGATTTCATTGCCAAGACAGACAAGAAGATTATTACTTTTGCAGCTGAAGTTGCCATATTTCTAGGAGCCTTCTGGATGGGGATGGAAGCCCACAATGCAGCCACAGCTGTAGGAGCCTGGGGTATTGGTGCAGACAGAATTTGGACAGCCTGGCAACACATCCTGGGAGCACTCGTCAATATCTGCAAAGAACTGGAGCATATTAAGAAACTCAGAAGAGGAACAAGGAGAAACGTCTTCTCAGGCAAATCCTCTGCTCACTTCTACATTCCACTTCCAGGTCTGTGAAGTTCAGCTGCCCATTCCTTGGGAAAAAGCCAGGATGGCAGGTGCAAAAGTAGCTCCCAGGAGTGTTGGTGCATGTTGCATTGCCAGGGCACATTTCAACATATTCATCAATACCTGTGGGGAACAGAATGGGTGTGACACAGAGTGGGTGAATGGTCCAACAAAGTTGTGCTTCCCCTTCCAATGTATAGAGGCATGTTTCACTAGAAAATGGTGGCCCAGTCAGGGACTACATTTCCCAGAACCCCTTGCATCTAGATGGGAGCATGTGATTAGTTTTCACCCATGGAATATGATGACTGTGATACGTGTCACTTCAAGGCCAAGGTGGTGTTAAAAGAAAAGTATTTTTTCTTGAATTTAAATTCTTTTTCTTAAATTTAAATTCTTTAAATGTGACAGGGTTTGCCAAGCATGGTGGCTCATGTCTGTAATCCCAGAACTTTGGGAGGGCTAGGAAGGAGGATTGCTTGAGGCCAGTTCAAAACCAGCCTGGACAACATAGGGAGACCCTGTCTCTATCAAAAAAAAAGTTTTTTTTAACTGGACAGGCATGGATGTGCATGCCTATAGTCCCACCTACTCGAGAGGCTGGGGAGGAAGGATTGCCTGAGCCCAGGAGGTCAAGGCTATGATGAGCTATGATCCAGTCACTGCACTCCAGGCTGCGTGACCGAGTGAGACACTGACTCAAAATAATAATAATAATAATAATAATAATAATAATAATAAATTTAACAGAGTTTAACTGAGCAAAGAATGATTAGCAAATTGTGCAGCCTCTTGAACCAAAGCAGGCACAGAGACTCCAGCACAGCCATGGGGTAGAAGAAGCTTTGCAAACAGAGAAAGGAAAATGATCTACAGAAAACAGAAATGAGGTACAGAAATAGCCAGATTGGTTATAGCTTGGAGTTTGCCTTATTTGATCTCCATTTGAACAGCTGGCCACCTTTGATAGGTCATAACTTGGTGATTGACACAAAAGTAGACTACAGTCTGTTTATATACCCTGTTAGGTTACAGCAAAAGGTTACAGAGAAACATCCAGGTCAACCCAAAACATGCAAGGAGGCGTCTTTGGTTAGACTTAATAACAGTGGTCAAGAAGTGGGTGTAATTTCTGTCTCTTTCCCCTCCACTAGCTAGGACCAGGGACTCTAAAGGAAGAACCAAAGGATGGAGACAGACTGGGTCCCTTTATCAACACGTGGGGGGAAGCTGCCCACCAGCCAGGTATATCCATGCTGGATTGTTGCGCGAGTGAAAAATGTCTATTATGTTACGCTAGTCGTGCTCACCTGGGGGCAATTTGTCCTCCCAGGGAGCACTGAGCTATATCTGGAGACATTTTTGGTTGTCACAACATGGGGGTGTGCTACCAAGATCTAGTGAGTTAGAGCCAAAGAGGCTGTTGTTTGTTCCAGCCACCTTAGAGCCCCAGAGGACACCATGTGAAACAGAATCAGGTGTTCAGCATGTAGACTCATGAGAAAGAACAAGGGGTCATGGTTATAAGTCACTATGTTTTGGGACTGATAAAGTCTGGGTGGTTGTCTCTTCAAAAGTTCATGGTGAAATGTGACCCCAAATGTTGAAAGTGGGAAAGTGGAGTCTAGTGGGAGGTGCTTTGGTCATGGGAGTGGCTTGGTACCATCTCACCGTAATGAGTGAATTCTCACCTTATGAGTTAGAACTGATTGTTTAAAAGAGCCTGGCACCACTTCATCTTCTTCTCTGTTTCTTGCTCTCACTCCCATCACATGACACACCTACTCCCTCTCAGTCTTCTGCCATGAGTAAAAGCTCCCTGAGGCCTCACTAGAAGCTGAGCAGATGCCAGTGTTATGCAGAACTGCGAGCCAAATAAACCTTTTTTTTTGTATAGATTACCCAGCCTCCAGTATTTGTTTATAGCAATGCAAAATATGCTAATACAGGGATGGTTTGATATCCATTGAGAAGCCCTCAGCATGGCTGGGAGAATTACCTGTACATCCCAAACCCTCTGGATCCTTAGAGGTTTGAAAATCAGGTGAAAAGAATCCAGGCATGCAGGAACAATTGTATTTCCCTAGAGCATTGATACAGACAGAATTGGGACTACAAAGAGTTGAGTTCCTGGAACATTCATCTACATCTAAGCAAAAAAACAAAAAACAAAAAAAACAATCTATATCAAGAGAACGAAGAAAGCTGAGGTTACATCACCGAATGAAGCCAATGTGTTTCCCAGGCTCCAGCCTCACCTTCTCAGACACATTTTCATCATTCAGAAAGCAAACATTTAGAGGTATATCCATGAGCCATGAAAAACTTCTGAGAAGGCTCCCCAAGACACAGGATGAAATCCAAACTCCTCATTACATGTACGAGGGCCTGAGAACCTGGTCCCAACCAAGCTCGCCTACTTCATTTTTCACTTCTAATCCCTTCATGATTTATAATCCTGATGCATGGATCACCTTATTGTCTTGCTCTTCTGTTCCCTCATCCTTGACCTTGCATACCCACCTCTTACCTTGATAAATCTCAATTCCCCTCTTAGAAATCACTATATTATGAATAACAAAAACAAAGGCACCAAGTGGAGGGATTGAGAACAGGGACACTCTGGGTTCAAAGTCTGGCTCTGTCTCTTACAGCTGTTTGTTCCTGGGAGCTATAGATTGAAGGATGCTGAAACCAAGGGGTTAACTGGATCCAATCTGCCTGCCTGGCTTGCTTTTGTTATTATTTTTCTGTGAGTTGAAGGTTGTGGTAATTGAAGGCTTCTCCACTGAAACTTAACCCTCATAGGCTACTTTATAGATAACATTCATACGTCACTATGGTAATAGGCACTTCAGTTGTTAAGACCACTGACAATTTGACTGAGCCTTTAAGTGCCCCAGAGGTGGCATTTTGACATCAGAAGGCTAAAAGTGCTCTCAGATCATGTTAATACCCTTTTTTTCTGTACAAATGTCCTATGAAATGCCATGAACTCCCGACAACACTTGCACATAAAAATCGGTTACTTCATTTTTTTCCCTCTGCCAGTAATTTTTCCCTACACCTTAGACCACCCACTTCCATAGGCCATAAATATCCCTATATCTTATCTTCAGGAAGGTGGATTTAAGAGCTGCTTGCTTGGTGGCCTTGCAAATAAATCTTTTCTCTTCTGTAAAACTTGTGTCACTGTGATTGATTTGCTGTGCTCAGGCAGAATGAACTTGGACTTGGCCAGTAAGAATGCTCCTCTTTCGAATTCATACACGGGGGACCCAAAAAATTCCAGAATTCATTGATTAAAAATTATTGCAGCATTGTTCACAATAGCAAGAACATGGAACCATCCATGTTGCCCATCAAAAGAGGACTGAATTTTTTAAAATGTGGTACATATACACAATGGAATATTATGCAGCCATAAAGAAGAACAAAAGCATGAACTTTGTAGTAACCTGGATGGACTTAGAATTTATAATACTGAGTGATCTTTCACAGAAACAATGAACTGAGTATCACATGTTCTCACTCATAAGTGGACCTTGAACAACTGTTGTAATACTATCGGAAAAGGATTGGCAATAGCAGGAAACTGCAGGGGCATGAGGAAGTGGGATCAGCAGTAGTGGGAAACTGCCTGGGGAAGGGGGGGCCCACCTCATCAACAAGGGCACCTGCACAGTGAATATATGTCTACCTACCCTGAATTTTACCCCACAATTTTAAAATAACAAATTTAAAAGTGAAAAAATTGTGTATTTATTCTTATTTACTAGTCATGTTCAAAGTACTCTCTGTGTGATGCAATACACCCATTGACAGCTTTCTCCACTGCTCAGCACAGTTTTTGAACTTGTCAATTTTGATGCCTTTTAGCACATCAAAATGTTTACCTTTGAGAACTTTTTTCATCTGGGGAAACAAAAAGTTGCTCGGGGTGACATCAGGTGAACAGGAAGGGTGGTACATGGGGGGGATCATGCTGTTTTTGATCAAAATTCCACTGCCTCACATTGTTCGTGTAAATCACCCATCACCAAATGGTCAAAAGTGCTGAAAGAATTTCCCCCCAAAAAATTCACTGAAACTGAACAACAATGCTAGCTGAAACACTGATATTGATGGGTTCCCAGAACACTTACCTAGCAGGGGAAGCCCGTACTACAAGGGGCCTGCCTTTCAAAAGATAATTCTGAGTTTTGGGGATCCCTCCTCAGATGTTGAAGCCCCAACCCCCAATGGGGTAGTATTTGGGGAAGTTATTCACTGCTATATCAATACCTAGAATAGTCAGTACTCAAAAGACATTTGTTGAATTCATGACTGACTGAATGAATGATCCTTGGCTTCAGATTTACAGATGAGTGTCTTAAACTCAGTCAAGACCCACCCTGACCCCCTCATCTGTCTTTGCACACAATCTCAGATCTGGCTCCCCAATGGACATCCCACCTACCTTCACACAATCCTCCCAAGCCCTGGAAACTCAGGTGTCCACTGCCAGATTCGAATTCTGGGTTGCAGAAACAAGAGTAGCTGCCGATGGTGTTTGCACACATCGTGTGCTCGGGACAAGCACTGGGCTTGGTGCATTCATCCACATCTGATGAGTAGAAGAGAAAACCCAGGTAAATTAGGACTCACAGACTAGAGGCTGCAGATGGGAGAGACTCACTCGGTGTGTCATATGTGGCAGACGGGGTTGATGCTTCCCCCTACCAGGGTTCTCCCCCTCTTTCTGGGCACACAGTAAGACCTTTCTCTTAGTCCCCTCTTGAAGCGAGGCATGGCCATGAGAGTTTGAGATCAGCCTGGACAACATAGCAAGGTCCTGTCTCTACAAAAAATTTACAAATGAGCCAGGCATGGTGCCATGTGTATGTAGTCTCAGCTACTCAGAAGGTTGAGGCAGGAAGATCACTTGAGGCTGGGAGTTCAAGGTTGTGGTAAGCCATGGCTATGCTACTGCACTGCAACCTGGGTGACAGAGCATGACCTCCAACTAAAAAAAAAAATCTCTGAACATTGCCAATGGCCCCTAATAACACTGGAAACAAGATCATGCCATTATACCCAAATACAACTTGACCCTCTGTTTGACTCATAGTAGCCCAATAGGAGTTCAGATTCCAGCTCTCCTGTTTAATGGCTGCATGTCCTTGGGAAAGTCACTTCATCTCTCTTAGTACCCATCTTCTCATCCCTAAAGTGAGAAAATCCCTCCGGCTGGGCATCATGGCTCAAGTCTGTAATCCCAACACTTTGGGAGGCTGAGGAGGGAGGCTCACCTGAGCTCAAAAGTTCAAAACCAGCCTGGCAACATAACAAGATGTTGTCTCTACAAAAAAACTAGCTGGCTACGGTGACACATGCCTGTAGTCCCAGCTACTCAGGAAGCTGAGGCAGGAAGATCACCTGAGCCCAGGGGGTCAAGGCTGTCGGTGAGCTATGATCCTGCCACTGCACTCCAGGCTGGGCAACAGAGCGAGACCCCAACTCAAAAACAAAAAACAAAAAACCCTCCTTCGTATGACTTGCCAGGAAGGTGCACCTCAATTAGCTATTAGGTTGATAATTAAGAGCGGGTCCTTCATACCTTCACAGGTAGAGTTTCTGGGGAAAAACCCCACCTGGCAGTTGCAACTATAGCTCCCCACAGAGTTGACACAGTTGGAATGCTCGGGGCAGGGCCTGGGGCTGAGGCACTTGTCGATGTCTGAGAGGCAGTGAAGGAGGGTGGTGGGTGAGAGTGGGTATCTATGTTTAGAGGCGCAAGAGTCCAGCCCTTTGGTGGGTGTCCACACCCAGGAGCCCGGGAGCATTACCTGTGCAGGAGAAGTTGCCTGGCCATCCTAAGGTCCAGCCATCTCCAGTGGGAGAAGAGAAGCTGGGAAGGCAGCTGCATCTATACCTCCCAGGCACATTTGTGCAGAACGAGTTGGGGCCACAGCATGAGGGATGAGAAGAGAGGGGACTAAGAGAGGGAACTGTGTTTCCACAAGCTTTGCAAGACTCAACCTGCCACCCGGCATGAGGCAAATGTGTAACTCTGACTCTTTCTCTGCCCAGACATTGAGGAATGTTCTCAAAGCTTGTGGAAACACAGGCCCCTGTCCCATGTGCTCTTTGTTCAATGTGACCTCAGTAACTCCTTCCACCAAGTGGCGGGGTCTGTGCCCATGAATCCAAGTGGGCATGTGACTGTGGTGGAGGTGACCCTTGGTCCTAACAACCTCCATCAGGTCCTCTTGAGATGTTCATTTTTGGAATTGCTATGTAGTGAGGAAGTCCAAGCATGTTTACAGAGACCAGGAATAATCTTTGTGATGAGAGAGAGAGAGAGAGAGAGAGAGAGAGAGAGAGAGAGACAGAGAGAGAGAAAGAGAGAGACAGAGAAGGGATGGAGGGAGGAAGGGAAAGAAGGAAGAGGGAGAGGAAAAGGGGAGGGAAAGAAGGAGGGAAGGAAAGAAAGGAAAGAAGGAAGGAAGAAAAGAAGGAAGGATGGATGGAAGGAAAGGAAGGAAGAAAGAGGAAGGAAGGAAGGAAGGAAGGAAGACCAGGAATGGTGGCACATGTCCGTAATCCCAGTACTTTGAGAGGCCAAGGAGGGAGGAATGCTCGAGCGCAGGAGTTTGAGACCAGACTGGGCAACATAGTAAGTCTTTTTTACAAAAAAGAAAAGTTGAAAAATTAACTGGACATGGTGATGTGCACCTATAGCCCCAGCTACTTGGGAGGCTGAGGCTGGAGGATCACTTTAGCCCAGGAGGTCAAGGCTGCGGTGAGTTGTGATTGTGTCACTGCACTCCAGCCTGGATGATGGAATGAGAACCTGACTCAAAAAGAATTAGGAAGGAAGGAAGGAAGAAAGAAAGGAAGGAAAGAAGGAAGAAAAGAGGAAGGGGAAAGGGAAGGAGGAGGGAGGAGAGAGGGGGAGGGAGGGAGAGAAAAGACATCATGCTTGGGGGTGTGGGAGAGTACCCACATCCACTACCCCCACCCCGCTTTCACCACCCTTCCTACCCAGTGCTGGAGAGCGCTGGGGGATGAGGGTTCACCTTTGCATTCCACTCTGGGACCCCTGCAGTGCTCTTGCCTGTTGCTGGGCAGGAAGCCGCGTTTGCAGGTGCAGTAGTAGCTCTCCGGGGTGTCGGTGCAGGTTGCATATGCCAGGCATGTGGTGGTGTCTGCACACTTGTTCACGTCTAGGCAGCATGGAAGCAAGAGATGAGACAAGACAAGCCAGAGCGAGGTTGCACGGAAATTCAGCACAGGACGGTGGAGGTGACTGAAGTGGGGTGAACTGTGTCCCCCTGGAAAACAGGTAGACATGCACCTGCGAATGTGATCTCATCTGGAAGTAGAAACCTTGTAGATGTAATAAGTGAGGATGAAGCAGGGCTGGAGTAGGATGGGCTTAGCCCAGAATGACTGGGGTCTTCATAAGAAGAGGCCAGCATGGTGGCTCATGCCTTTCTGTCATCTCAGCACACTGGGAGGCTCAGGCGGGAGGATCGTTTGAGCCCAGAAGTTCAAGACCAGCCTGGGCAACATAGCAAGACCTCGTTCCTTCCCCAAAATTAAAAAATTGGCCAGATGTGCTGGCATGTACCTGTAGTCCCAGCGAAAAGGGAGGCTGAGGTGGGAGGAACATTGAGCCCAGGAAGTCAAAGCTGTCCTGAGTAGTGATCATGCCACTGTACTCCAGCCTGGGCAACAGAGTGAGACCTCGACTCAAAAAATAATAATAATAATAGGAGTTAGAGAGAGAGAGAAGGCGGAGGAGGAGGAGGAAGAGGAGGAGGAGAAGGACATTAAAGCTTGCCAGCAATATCTGAAGCTTTAGTAAAGAGCATGAAACAGTGTGTACCCTGTGGCCTTTTGCTGAGATGATGGCCCTGCCACCACCTTAATTGCAGGACTTCTGGCCTCCTGGGCTGTGAGAGAAGATTTCTGTTGTTTTAGGCTGTCTGGTTTGTGGAGATTTTTTTTTTCTTTTTTGAGTTGGAGTCTCACTCTGTCGCCCAGACTGGAGTGCAGTGGCCGGTCGCG